ACTGCATAACTCAAAGCAAGCTGCAAAAATGGCCAGTATTTGTCCTTGAGACAAATTGCTCTTTTTAAAGGTCAGCCAAGGCTGAACCAAATTAGAGCGAAAAGACGGTTAAAATGGGTTTTGGGAGGACCGAACCTGGTTACGGAGCATCCCATCAAGTTCGGTGCACATTCGAGTTCTAGAAAGGAAATGCCCTAGGCGGGATTCGAACCGGCGCCGAAACCGCCGGGACGCACCATGTATACGCTCGGCTAATGTCCCTATATGCATTTATATTTTGGTTCAGTTTTATGCATTTATACTCTCATGCATTTGCGCTGCAACACATAACTAAGGTTAAACAATGGATCACTTGGGATCACGTCATTTAATTTGAACATTGGGATCATTAGTTATACCTAGTGGTCCTTAGTTGCACATAGTAATCTTAATATATGCTATGAGATCGTTGTTAATCCAGAGGGATTAGGGATCAATAATTTCCTATCGAGATTATTTATTATCCATAGAGATCATTGATTATACATCGAAACCATCGCTTATATACATACATATATAAATAAATAAATCGATATATGTACATATTTATAAATAAAAATATGAATATGAATTAGTACGATCATTAGTAATACATAGGAATCAATAGATTTATGTAGAAACTATAAGCTATACAATTAAGCTATCAACCATACATAGGAATCATTTTTATTATTTTATCTGATCATCAATTAAACGTAGGGAAAAATAATTAGTTAGAATAATCATTCGTTGAACAACACAAATCTGTTTATGAATTTAGGTATCATTGGTAAAATGTATGGATGCTTAATTTTGTACAGAGATCATGAGTGATAAATAGAGATCATTAGTTATACATAAAGATCTTTAGTTACTTATTGGAATCATGAACAAACATTGGAATTTTAGTTTTCCACAGTCATTGTTAGTTGCAAATAAGAATCCTTAGTTTCACAAGGAATCTTTAGTGGTTAATTATGATCTTTAATTTTTCTTAGGGATCACTATTTATACATCGGGATCATCATTATTACTTGGGGATTGTCAGTTATACAAAGGGATAACTAGTTGTACATAAGGATCTTCAACTAACGAGGGGGATTTAGTAATACATTGTGGTCATTAGTTATACATAGGGATCAATAATCAAATCGGGATCAATAGCTACACGAAATAATCGTTAATTTAAAAAAATATTAATAGTTCTACATAGTGATCACCAGTTGAACAGAGACCATTAGCTATACATAGTGATCCTTACTTAGAGATCAGGATCATAACTTATACACAGGGGTCATTAATTAAACAAAGTTAAATGTTTTACAAAAAAAAATAGGTACAACTGCAGATCAATACTTATTAATGAGGACAATTGGTTGTCTTTCATATCATAATACACGAGGACTATTGATTGTCATATAAAACATGATGGCCAGTACGAAAGATGACAATCCTCCCACACCGATCCTTGTGTACCGTATGTATACTACTGATAGCAAAACATTTCACAGCCAGAACCCCTCCAACTACCCTTCTTTAGACAGATGGATTCTATCCGTATCTTGTTTCCCTTCTTGCTTTTTGTTTTGCTCATAGCAAGCAGTTCTATCTCTTGTAGTGGCTCTGCGTATGGTCACTAAAAAGGCTAATCTAATAAGTTACACGTTATAAAACTTTGTTTTTGGATTGCAAGCCAAAACATACGAGCAAAATTTCACTTCGTATTTCAACTTCAAATTTGAGTGATTAAATTTTTTGTCGTTTGTTTTGTTTGTTTTCTTAAATTTTAAAAAAATTGTATTCATCCCATTTGACATGTTTCTATTTATCTAAATTTTTGATGAGGACTTTGTCTTTGCCCCGAAGAACTTGCTTAAACTTTTTCAAAAATGGGTAAGCTTTCTGCTGGTGGTTTTTCTAAGTACCCGGGTTGGCCTTCTTACACCGAAAATGCTTATCATACATTTCCATACATAAAGTGTGTGGAAAAATGCTTGTCATACAATTTTCATACAATTTCTAAAAATGGTTGAAAACTGGTATAAACTTATTTCTGTGGCTGTTTGATTCTAATAAAACAGTCTGGTCATAAAAATTGAGGTTTTCGTTTTTTAGAAAAAAATGCTTATCATACAATTCACATATTTAATTGTTAATTTTTTCTGCTAATTTTTGAATTTTTGTGCTAATTTTTTGAATTTTTCTACTTTGACCGATTTATGATGCAGTTTTTCGCGATTTAGGTTTCTATTTTGAGTTCGACTATAGGGCTTTCTCGATATGGAGTTTCGGTCAAACTCAGAAATGTGCACTCTAAAAAGTTGAATTAAAGTTACCTTAAGTCATTTAAGGTAAGTGGTTGTTAAGGTAAAATTTCTCTCAAGCCTGCCTTAAGTTACTTAAGGTAAGTCTGAATCTCAATAAATAAAAATAACTGAAAAAAAAGGTAAATTTTGCAGTTTTTTTAACAACTGTTTCGGTTATTTTCATTAGTAAAAAGGAAAAGTAAGAGATAAAATTGTTAAATATGATTGTACCATGAATTTTTGTCACCTCAGTCTCAATGCTCTGGAAAGGCATCACTTTTTTTTAAAATCAAGTCTAAAGATATCAAGAAATGCAAGTGTTTTCGGCGAATCAGTTTTTGGAGTGCAATGTTGAGCTTAAGCTAGTTTTTCAGATTTAGTCGAGGTAATTTTTCAAGTAAATTTGGGATGACTTGAGGTACAGGTTAAGGTAGTTCTCTCACAAGTTTTAATTTAAACTTGAGTCGAGTTAAAGTAGTAGTTGAGGTGGCTTGAAGTAAGATTAAGTTGAGCACTTTTGCCTTTCCTGTTGAGGTAACTTAAGATTCTTTTGAGGTATAATTACCTCAATCTCAACGTGTGTGATCAAACAATCCACAGTGAAACAATGAATAGCAAACCTCGAGCCGGTTGGCACTGTTTACGGTTTCTGATTTTTATATTTATTAGATGAATATTTATTTTTTGTTGATTGGTTTATAATAACTTAGGTGGTTTTTCTACCTTTCGGATTTCTTGAAGATGATTATGACGCTAGGACGCGTTGAGGATTTTTATAATGGTCTAGCTTTCAAGTTTCTCAATGGCATTTGTGTCGTTTTCCCAAAACACTAGCTTTTACCTTTTTGGGACCCTTTGTAGGCCTTCTGGTGGCGGTCCTGTATTTGATTAAATACTGATTGCTCATCAAAAACACATTAATTTGGTATCATTTTTTTGTTAAAAAAGCAGCAAAAATTCAACTTTCCAATAATTACATGCATCATTGGACCTGATTCAACTCATGAGTTTACTCCAATCTACGCATAGTTCGACTCCGCTTGACCATGACTCAACTCTGATCGACACATGAATCGACCTTGTTCGACCATTTATTTGACATCATTCAGCACTTGATTCCACACTGTTTAACTATGAACCGACCCTTTTTGACTCTAACTACTATGTTCTACTCATAATTCAACCCCACTTAATATGTGATTCCATTCCGCTCAATCTATGATTCGACCTAGTTTGACTCATGATTTGACCCAATCCAACCCATGACTCGATTTAGATTGACCCATTATAGCCCATTTGACCAATTTGTTCTCAAAAGACGAAGTGAGCAAACAACAACCTAAAATTAAATGGCAAATTCAAACCCTAAGGCCTGCTTGATTTATGATCAACTCTAATTTGCCGAAAGTTTTCATTTTTAATGAAGTGAACCATCTCGCTTCTAAACTGAATAAGGCTGAGTTTTTCTCATGGTTCGCCATGACCCTGTTTGACCAATGATTTGACTACATTTAACCATAATTTGATACAGTTCGCCACTATAGATCCTTTTCAACCCATGATTCGACTCTGTTCGACCAGTGATTTGACATTTTTAGACTCTAATGACCCTGTTTGACGCATGAATCGACTTTACTCTTTATTTTTTATTTTTTTAGTTCGACTAAAGGGCTTTCTCGACTATGGATTTTTGAAAAAACAAACAAATCGCAAACCTCGTCCCCGGTGTTAACCTCGACCTGGGTGGGTTTAACGTTGATTTTTATTTTATTAGATGACCGCTAGTTTATCTCGATTAGTTTATAAAAAGTTTGGTGGTTTTCTACCTATTGGAATTTTTTGGTGATAATCATTTTATTTTGGTTTAAATTACTTGTTACAAGTTATTCACAGTTTTGGTTAACAAGCGGCAATTACTCGATTTTCCTTAATTGCACCCATGATTTGACCCAATTCAGCTCGTGATTATATCCCAATCGTCGCATAATTTAACTCCGCTTGACCATGATTCGACTCCAATTGACACATGATTCGACCTCATTCGACCCATGATTCGACCCTGCCCAAATTATGATTATATCCCTTTGACCCATGATTGAACCTCGTTTGACCCCTGATTCAACCTCGTTTGACCCAATCCAACCCATGATTCTATCCCGGACGAACCATTATAGCCAATTCTAATATACCTATCCTCAATAGACCAAGTGAGCAATCTCCCACCTAAAATTAAATGGCAAATTCAAATTTTAGGGGCTGCGTGAAAAATGCCCAAATCTAAATGGCTGAAAGACATTAATTTCAACCAAGTCAGCCATCTCTCCCCTTAGGCTAATTTAGGGTAAAAATGTCCACCTGGTTCCCGATGATTCAACTCTGTTCGAAACGTGATCTGACAGTGTTCGACTATAAAACGACGCTGTTCGACGCTATCAACACTTTTCAATCCATGATTACACTCTCTTCCTCCGATGATTTGAGCATTTTAGTGTCTATCGACCCTTTTTGACCCATGATTTGACTCTGTTTGACGAAAACCTACATTCGACCGTCTTGATTTGTTACAAAAATGGAACATCAGTTAATCATTTCTGTTATTGTCTTGCCAATATACCATATTGTGTAGTTTATGGAAGCAATTTTTAATTCAAAAAGTAGCAATTTGGTTATGCTAACCTGGGTTTGTCTTCGCAGAGATATTGGGAATAGCATGCGCAGCTCAAAATAAAACTTGAAAAGATCAATTTTGATCAAGAATTTTTGTGAATAACAATCATTTTATTGAAATTGAGAACAAAAGCAAAATCATTAAGAAATGTTTTGAGTTATAGGAGAATATACCTCACGCCAGAACAGCAGGATTCAATTTATTTAGTGGGTTGCGAATTAAAGTTGCTTTCTGTTTGTTTTCTAAACAATCAATAGAATTATAACATCCGGTTTTCAAACAAACCAACAAAGTTCATGACTTCATTGCATTAACTGAAGGCTCAAGTTTGTTTTCAAAACAAGGGACAATCAAAGCGTTATAGCAAAGTATTATTTCGACAGACCAAGTGAGCAATCTCCTTTATAAAACCAAATGACAAATTCAAGCTTTAAGTGCTGCATGAACTATGCCCAATTCTAATTGACTGAAAGCTATAGTTTAACCAAGTCAACTATCTCTCTCCTAAACTGAATTAGGGTAAGAATGTCCACCTGGTCCCCTTTGATTCGACCCTGTTCGACCCATGATCCGACACTGTTCGACTATGAAACGATCTTGTTCGACGCTATCGACACTTTTCATCCAATGGTTATACTCTCTTTCTCCCATGACTTGACATTTTTAGTCTCTGTCCACCCTGTTTGACCCAAGATTTGACTCTTTTTGACTATGAAACGACCCGGCTCGACGCTATCGACACTTTTCAACCCATGTTTCTACTCTGTTCGATCCATGATTTGACTTTTTAGTCTCTATCGACCCTGTTTGAAAATGATTTGACTCTGATTAACAACAACCTCCGCAGGATTGCCTTGATTTGTGTCGGAAATCGAACATCATTTGATCATTTCTATTATATCATGCCAATATACCATACTTTGTAGTTTATCGAAGCACATTTTCATTTCAAAAAAGATAATTCAGTTGTGCTAACCTGGGTTTGACTTCGCAGGGATATTTGGAATGGTATGCACAGCTCAAAGTGAAACTTGAGCAGATCCGGAAGTGTTGTGAAAAACTATCAGTTATGTTGAAATTGAGAACAAAAACAACATCATGAAGAACCAATTTGATTTATACTAGAATGTAACTTAAGCCAGAACATCAAAATTCAATGGGTTGCCAAATAAGTTGTTTTCCGTTTGTTTTCTAAACAATTAAAATATTTATAAAATCCGATTTTCAAACGAACCAACAAAGGTTATGTCATCATTGCATTAACTGAAGGCTCCAGTTTCTGCTCAAAACAATGAAGAATCAAAGTCTTAAAGCAAAGTATTTTTTTGCTAAACTGGTTATAGCCGAAAAGAAATACAATATTAGTGTATCCAGGACTACGCTGTGCACACATAAAATTAAATTTCGCATGCGAAATTTTTTTTTTAAATGTTTGTTTGAGTAAAAACTCGAGTTGCGGTTAAGAAAAAAAACACAGACAATTTTTGGGGCGCATTTGAACGCTACTTGGAAAAGTTTTTGTTTTCGCCATCAAAAAAATGCTAGTCATACAACTTTTATATATGGAAATTGCATGATTATACTTTTTTAACAGAATTTTTTTGTTTTTTTTTATTACAGTACACCGAATTTTCTGTCAAAACAAGAAAAAAGTTCTTTGAAAGCAAATGTAGGAAGTTTGTATGAGTAAGTATTTTTTCATAGATTTAGTTTATGAAGTTTAATGACTAGCATTTTTGGTCCATGGAGGTCAACCCGGGAGTCTAGTTAAATATAAGTGAGGCTCCAGTAACTGTAAGATTGCTTGAAACAAATACTTGTTTTGTTTCTGATGTGATATATTTTGGTTCATAGCTGCATCTAGTTTCAAACGTAATTAATCAATCATACCCGAGATGAGGTCTCAGACTCAAATTCAGTGTTTGTGGGCCGCGTTGCATCCAGATTTAAACCCAATTTGCATAGTTGAGTTGAGAAATCGAGTTCAGAAAGTGTGGTGATGAAACGCGCTGTATGTCGTGAAACTTTGAAACACTCTTTAAACACATGTATCTTCTCTGTATCTTGATTCTATATTTGCGTTCTGTCTTTGTTTCAGCTTTCTGTTTGTCAAATATTTGACCTTGTAACCCTGCAGAATATGCGTTGAAAATGCATTATTTTCGGTTTGATCTGCAATTTAAACTTGTAATACAATTTTGTCAGCAAAAGTATTCTACCGAAATTTCACTTCTTAACTTAAAATAAGTAGTTTGTTAACAAAATCAAATTCTGTCCTATTAGATTGTTTTGTAGCTTTCAAGTTTTTTTCGATGGCCTTTGTGTCGTTGTCCCGAAGAACTAGCTTTTATCTTTTTGGAACTTTTTAGGCCATCTGGCGGCGGTGTCTTGTATGTGATCAGAAAACCTGGTGGTCTTGTAAAGTGTGCAATAAAAATTGTACAATTGTCTTGCAACCAGAAATCCGAAACAAGTTTCATTAAATGTGCTATAATGAGTATTTATGTTACTAGTAGATGTTGGAACTGATCAGTGGGTGCTTGTCTGACCACGTGTATTGAGTTTGGACAAAGATTTCACGTCAGCCACTCTAAGTATTAGCAATGTGCATATAGTTTGTAATCTAATTAGATAGGGAATAGAATTGGAGAGATTTCAGAGATTTGTAATGGTAAAAATGGCCTTTTTGTAGTTTTACTGTTGCATTTTTTTTAGCTTTTTCGCAAAAAGAATGAAAATGCTGAAATAAAACTTTATAGTATGTTTTTTGGTTTATGGTAAAACCATTTTAAGAGTTTTTCATAGAAACCGAGTTTTGTAAATCATTTTTATCAAAAATTGAGAATGGAAATATTAAAAATTCAATTGTCATTTGAGCTATTACCTGTTTCATATGGTGTTGTACCTACTAAACTCAACGCTTTATCGATCTGAAAGTAAGCTTGCACGACACCTAATGGTTGGAAAATTTTAATTTACAAAAAAAATAAAAGAGCACTTCAATTTATTTTCTGTTTATTATTTTCTGAAAAAATAGTATACATTTCAAAAAACGACACCAAGTAACTTCTCACTGCAATGCATCAGTTACAAAATTTCATTGGTTTTGTATCACTTTCATCATCTTGGACTTGTCTTTTTGGTTAAAATGACTAAGTAATTTCCTTGTCTGCTCAGTTTAGCAACCACACAATTCTTTCAAGCAACCATGACGGCTCTGAACTTTTTGTTTCTAAAATTAAGTTTAACTGTTTCTTCGAGTACTCTCGTGTACTTTACCATAGGGCCATATAACCTTCTAGAGCTAGTTTTGTTCAAACTGTTACTACTGAATTTGAACTTATCTGACTTGCTTTCATAGCTGCAAAAATCATTGCTACAGAAACATGACATATAGGTACACATAATTTCTCCTTAAAAAGTCTGGGCTCCCATTTATCGTGCGTTTTATGGGCCAAGCAACACGTTCAAGAAAATTAGAATTTGCATCTGCCCTATAAGAGTCTCTAAAATCATTTTCCATCAGTTTTTCCCAAAGCTACTCTCATAAGTAGTATATGATTGAGGCGCTCATAAGTCTGGGGGTTGAACCCAATGTTTTAAGATAGAGAATATGGCATCCCGTCACTCACTTATGTATTAACATAGAGAACATATTTCTCATTGTAATAAAATAGGTTATATGTTTCCGAGTTTTAATTGGTACGTTTCGGATGGTAAGCTTTCTCGACGCCCAAACTTTCCATGTATTAGGATAGTGTATAGATTTCCCTATGTAATAGAATCAGTAATAAGGATTCAGTGTGATAAGATAATGAATAATTTTTCTATTTTTTTGAGATAGGGAACAGATTTAACAATGTAATCAGATAAGATTCCGAGTTACAGATGCTAAGATGGTATTTTAAAAAAAAATTTAGCACCTAATCTTCATTTTTTTTGCACTTGATCTTGCAGACACATGTTTTTCCAATTTAACTTCTAGGATTTGAGATATGATCGAGCTATCTTTTTTAAAAAAAATTCCGATATGGTAAGTTTCACATGGTGAATTGCTGAAAAATATTTTAAAATTTTTGAAAGTTTTAATTTTCATCTTGAGAAACAAAAAAAAATCAGAAGGCAAGTTCAACAAAAACGAAGTTTTGTTTCAAATTAAGCGACTGTAAACTACTTTTTTCAAAAATTCCATTTAAAACTTAATTCATCCTAAATATATTCTTTCGGGGTATTTTGAGAAAAAATGACAAGAGCGGGTTATCTTTGGGAGGTTAATTTTTTCCGTTCCACGGAAAATCTGGCAAAATTTGACAGCTCCTTGCGCTTGATTTTTTAAATATCCCACTTATCTGGAGAAAAGAAGAGAGCTCCCTTCTATGGTAAGTTTTCTGAGTTTTTGAATTTTTTTTTCTCAAAATTATTCTACAATAAGATGACAGATGCAATTTAGCCATTCGCCACAGAGTTTCTGAAGCGTAAGACGCACTCTTGATAGGTTGAAGTTTCAAATTTGAATAAAATATTGAAATACGTTCAATAAAAAACTGAATTAGTTTTTCTTTGGAAACAAAGATATAAACAAGCAACAACTATTTTGAAATCAATCAATCCATAATTTTCATCAAGATATCAAATTTTAACGAAATATTTCTTTATTATGTAAATGTTTTTGCAACAATTATCTTCGGTCACTTTAACTTAATTCTTTCAAAAAATGTTTAAAATTATTGAAATTTTGATAAATTAACCTCCAAATTTGCCAATTCTTTTGTCCTGGCAAAAAAATTACATTGAGAAAGATAAAATATCTTAAATTCTTGTGTCTGATTTTTTTGTATTCTAGTTTTTCTATATTTCTCGGAGTAAATTTTTAGAAAGATTATACAATATACTAGATTCTAGTGACAATTTTTGTAAATTTAACTATTCTATTGAAAATTGGGGCCACATAATCCAGATTCCATTATCTATCGTTTTCATTGTGTTTCACCAAAAGGTTAGCACCTAAGGCGCTTTTTTCAAAAAAAAATGAATCGATAAATTACTTGAATAAAAAAACGACTCACTGCATCGTTTGAAACATTTACTGCAATGAGGTACACCTACGAACAAAATTGCACTTTTACAAAAAAATGTCTATGAAACTTAAAACTAGCATGTAATGAATTTAATTCAAATTTCTCTGGCAAAGTTTCAATTAAAAGTAGTTAAAATTTAACTGC